AGCTGGATTTTTTCAATAGGGCGCTGATCAAAAAAATTATTTTTATCAAAATCTACGCGCGTACGGGCAATTTTCCGTGATGTGTTAGTTTTTTTAAACATTTTTTATCTCCGTAAATTCTAAAAATTCAATAAATTGTTTGTTTTTGCAAGTGAAATACTCTACTATTTTTTTTAATTATTTCGAAAAAAAATTATTATCGATTTAAAAACATTTTTTTTCACAGCTGGTACTCCAAAAAGGTGAAAAACTACATACATTTTTTTTTTACTCATTCAATATTATTCTACAATAAATATCATAAATTTTGCAGAAAAATAAATTTTTTCTTTTTTTGGTCTTAGCAAAATTTTTCTTTTTTTTTTTTGCAAAATTAATGATGTTTATTATAGAATAATATTGAATAAGTAGAAAAAAAATTTAATGTAGTTTTTCATCTTTTTGGCGTGCCACTTGTGAAAAAAAATTTTTTTTAAATGAGTATAAATTTTTTTTCGAAAAAAATTTAAAAAAAATAGCACAGTATTCCACTTGTACAAACAAACCTTTTTTCTACTATATATTGTTTTCAATTTTTAGAATTTACGGAGATAAAAAATGTTTAAATAAAATTTTCACTTCCCGGATAAGTGTCCGTCCGCGCGTCAGTTTTGACGAAAATAATTTTTTGACCAGATAGAAATAGATTAGATAATTTTTTGATTCAGATAGAACTTGATAAAAGCTAAATCATGCCCTAACTTAAATTTTTGTAAAATTTATTTCCAGATTTGGCAAATTTTCAGTTAGAAAAAAATGTTCCGAATTTTTATTCGTTGCACAAGCGGGCCGACTGAAGTAGAAGACATAAGAAAGGCCGAAACAAACAAACTGTACGCGGTAAATACATGATAGACCAGAAATGAAATAGAACATAGACAGCTGCAAACCTAAATAAACAATTAAGCTATATGAATCTCTCGGTTCCCAGGATATACTTATTCCTGAAGGAAGTGGTAGGGACTTATCTTAAGTTTGTGAACCCTCGAGAGGGACAAGCGCAGTCAGTCCTGTACACGATCTCGCCTTGTAAAGACATCTCTCTGGAGCTCTGTCACTTTATAATAAAAAGTATTATTATTTAACTGCCGATTTCGACGCCTAGATTCCTGCAAATACCCACACGCGCCTTATAACTCGACCATCGCTACCGCAGCGTGTAAAACTTGCCGTGACAATCATCAAAATTGGATGATAATTTTGAGGGAGGTTTGAAAAATAATCTCGAAAGAGTCAAATTTATTTTAGCATTCTATCCTTGATAATATTTTTTCCAACTTTTTTGTAGCTATTTTAAGATGTTGTTTTGATAACAATAATCATAAAAAGGGTTGAATTTTCATTAAAAAAAATAAAGGTTGCATCCCTTATGGTCGAAACTACATGCACTAGTTCAGTATTTACGTTACTAGTCAAATTAAATTTGTTTTATCGTAAAATATCAATTAGAACCTTAGATATATTGCAAAATTTTTTTGAGGGTGTACTTTGAAAGTGGATGTCATCCTCTAAAATTGTTTTTTTGCAGATAAAAAAAATAAAAACACGTGTCACTTTTTTTTTATGAACTATAACATATCAAAAGATGATTAAAATTAGTTTTTTTAGTTGGGGAGGTTTGCTTGTGAGCAGTGCTATGGAAAAAAAGTGGCCGGTATTCCATACCTCTGTGAAATTTTTCTGGCAATTAATTTGTGCAGTAGTAACATGTATCTTTTAGTATTTTATTTTTATTTTTTCGACATTGGTAACTGATGGCACGGCTGTCTTCAATAACATTCTACGAAGACTTGCAACACCTACAATAAATTTTATGTTATATAAATTCATAATTAACTATTAATTTTGATATTCGATAAACAGAGATTTTTAATTACGTACCAGGTAAAACAAAATCAGTCCCTTTAAAGTGGAGCACTCTCAAACTAGAGTGGTGAGCTCGTATTTTCAAAATTTTCAGCCATTGTTTTTGTCTATCAATTTTTTTCGGTATGATTAAAAAAGTTGATTCTTAGAATTTTCGTTTCGTTAGGTTTAAGTAATTGATGAAAAGCTATAGCATTATATCTATCTGCATTGCCTGCCTTCGGACTAGGACAGCGTTCCACACAATAATGTACTTTAAGGACGTTCTCTTGGCTGTAGGGATGCTCTATCCCGACTGCCCGCGGAAAAATAAGTTACTTGCATTCATCTTGCTTTTAACAAGAGTGTTATAGATAGAAATTGAAGCAAAAAAATTCAGAGCTACTTCTCAGAGTATCTATTTTCTTATAGTTCCTTTAAAAATTTGATATGTGCTTTCGTTTATTCATAAAAAATTATAACTTTCATAACTACGAAACGTGTAACTATTTAATGAATAAATAGTACGATACAAGTGCGGTAAAGTAGATTCTTGTCTATATTTCCTGTACAATAATACAAGTGCAGGAAAAGTAGATTCTTGTCTATATTTAGATATTCAAAAGTCTGTAACATAGTTTTGTTTATCAAAGTTACACGTTTGATAACTTTAAAGGTTATAATTTTTATAAATAAACAAAAGTACATATCACTTTTTTTAAACAACTGTTAGAAAATAGATTCTCTAAACAGTAGCTCTGAATTTTTTCGCTTTAATTTGTCTATAATCCTCTTGTTAAAAGTGAAATAAACGCAAGTATGCCTTTTTCCACGGGCAGCCGCGGTGGAGTACTCCTATAGCTAAAAGAACCTCCTGAACGAAACAGTTTTATTTTGACTGTAATATTTTATATGCGGATCAGATTATAAGTAGCGCACTCAACCTCACTTTATATTCAAAGATATACTATAAGATCTGAATCTATGGTTCACACTTTCATTCATTTAATATATGTAAATACACTATTGAATATACTCATATCTTTGTAGACTAATTTTTTGAGACACACTTACATGAAAATTATTTAAATGATTCAAATATCGTAAGCCTACATAAGTTTACATGTAAACATTTCTACAAATGTCAGCCACCTTGGCTACCTATATATATGGTGTTTTATTATCCAATAGTCATGAATTTGCAGGCTCACCTCCCCTATCATTGTTTTGAAATGGTATAGGTGGATAAAGTTTTACACGCATCATGACTGGTTCACAGTTTCAGACGGAATCCGTACTTCCGGAATCACGGTAACAAATATATTAAAATTTCATTTCTAAAAATCTTCACACTCGGACTTACGATCTCTTGTACAGAAGTCTAGGCTCCCACCCACTGAACCACTATCACCCCTTTTGTACTTTGTAGATTAAGAAGTAATACGAGCAACGAAAACTAATGATCAGAATATTAAACTCGTTAAATTTGAAACATATTTACGGGTGTTTTCATAAAGGCAACAAAAAGTACACGATGTTAAATGTACTACGTATACTAAAATAAGACTGTAGCCATAAATAATCGCTACTATTGAGTATGTAAAATTTAGTGTTAACTATAATATAATATGTTTGTCGATCCCATGTTGAATTAATCTTTTAAATAATTTTTCTGATATATTTTGAAATAAGTAAAAGTTTATCTGTGTTCGTCAAAAAATAGATGCATGTTCAATTTTTATTCACTGATAAATATTGATGTATGTACAGTATTTTAATATTATTAATATTTTTATTATTTAATATTATTCTTTCATATTTAACCATTTTTTATCTCGATATTTAATCATTTTTGTATTTCGATATGTAACTATTTTATATTTATATTTCAATATTATTTATTAAAAATTTTAATAGTATTTATTTTGATATCCATTTATGTAATAATTTTTTTATATTATGTACAAATCACAATAATATTCTAGGTTTTAAATAGAAGTTTAATATGTCCAACCGTATATTCTCTTATATTACCTGATAGTGTAACAATTGGAATTTGATGTTAATAATTGAACCACTCTTGAGCTTTTTAATATTTCAAAATTTCTGAACATATATCTTAACACCAAAAATATTATCACTTCAAAGTTTAATATTGTTTTCAAATGAAGCCAAATTTTTTTTGTTTTGGTCGTAAAATCTCAATATATAGCGGCTCAAGCGTACACAATACGAACAGTAATTTATATATGTCTCTAATAAAACAATATAATATTTGCATTGCAAATGCAATGATCAAATTCGAGACGCTTGCATTAAAATATTCAAGTAATATGTATCAAAAATTTATGAAAAATTAAAAAACTTAAAAACTTTTTCAAAATTTATATTAACTCGGAAAATAATCATACAAGTTATTGTCAAAATAATTTTGTTCAGAAATTGTCATGTACAGAAGAACTAATTAAATTTTTAAATTCCTTCGTAATTGTTTGATGCGCAAGATTTTAATTTTCAACGCTATGTCAGTCCTATTTTCATGCGATTATTTTACACTGCAGGTTGCAGCCGTGTTGATTCAGGCTATTTTGATTCGAAATACCGGTGGTTTTCAGTTTCGCAATCGTTGCGCTGATTGTCATAAACTGTTGGAAATAGGTGTTTTTATCGAATTGTGACCTACATCTGGACTGTTAATTTTTATGAAATATAATTTTTTTTTTCGGAAATATAAGGTTACTAATTCTTTTAGAAAGTTAACGTAGCTTCATTTTTGTAGTTAACTATAAAGTTTGTTTATTGACTCAAGTATAGAAATGATTCACTATGTATTTATAAAAAAGTAGGCCCTAAAAAAATTGATAGAATAGCATTTCATTTAACAACATTATAATAAGAAAAAATAAGTTAACCTTTTTTTCTTGGACAATGTAATTCATAAAATACCAATAACCAATCCAAATAAAGAAGGCGGATCATTTACTGCTCCGCCTATAGTAACCATAGTAACAGCGCGGTTGTAACAGTCTAGTAAGTAGGAGTTAGTAAAGAATTGACAGTAAACCTGTGTCAAGGGTCGAATACTTCTTTAGTTTATATTGCGTTGGTATTAGATACTCGTGCTTGTCTGATTTGCTGACAACTAATAAATATTAATAAGACAAGTTAAAACTCAAACAAAAAAATAAGAAATACAGCACTGCGTGGATTGCTACTACTATTTTATTTAGCACAAAGTATTTTTGTTATAATAATCAATTGTGTGATAATAGATCCGATAAGTGCCACAATATATGTGAACTATTTTCAAATATTATGAAATGGTTTACGGTTACAAAATAATCGTTTGGAATGTTCAATAATTTCATATATATATATATGCGCGCGCGGGTGTGTGTGTGTGTGTGTACGTGTACATAACATTATGTGATGGTGATTTATTATAAAAATCTATTATTTCTGATTTATAAATAATAGTTATTGATATCAGATAAAATTACCTTTTCAAGTTACGTTAATTATTAATGTTGCATTTTGAATCCATTTATTCCCAATAATAAAAAAAACACATTTATTATAAGAATTGTTCTATTATTATTCAGTTATCAAATTACTTACTAATAATTAATTAAATTAACGGAAATGATACTCTTTTGAAACTTTTTGAGATCTGAGGAATTTTGAGGCACAGTGTTGATAACTAACGAACTAGATCTACTTATTAATTCTCAGATAATTAGTATTAAGAACATATCAATGGTTCCTTCAAATATTATGCCGTTAAAAGACTCAGAAAAAAATTTGTGTTCTAACACTGAATTGATGATAATGCCGAAAAATCCATTGATTCGAAGCAGCACTCCTGTCAATGAAAGCAATACTTCGCAGTCTGGTAATGTTCAAACAGAAAAGACTTCAAGTATTGAATGTATTGTTTGCGGTGATAAAAGTAGTGGCAAACATTACGGACAATTCACATGTGAAGGTGAATAATTATGTGAAAACATATCAAAATTTTATTGTGATCTGAAAATATAAGTAGGAAAAAAGTATATACTACAAAAAGTCATTCAATAATGTGTGAAAAATCTTCATACAAATAATGTATAAATAATTATTATAATCATAATAATTGATTCTATTTTCAGAATATATTCTTTCTTTCATGATTATTATGATTCCTATTTATACAGAGGAAAAAGTATAGAGAATAATATATAATTGAATTCGACTAGCAAAGTGAGATAACGATTTCATTGAAATTCATCTTATGTATCATTTCGGAATTAAATAAAACTTTCGAAAGTTTAAACTAAGCAAAAGTTATGTATTATATAGTTATAACGCCCTTTACTCGGATTTTATATTAATTTATGCCTATTGAGTGGCCCGGCAAGCTACATTATATCTGTAAATTGTACTATTACGTAATGATAATTTCATATATTCCCGCGTACGCAATTTATTTTATAGAGGTGGTTTTATGCTCTCGATGAGGGAACTTTCCAAATTTTCAGATTTTTCATGGATGAACACGAGTCATTTGGACTCCTTTAATGTTCCAATCGGTAATTTAAATTTGATAAACGAGATCTTCCTTTGGCTACCGTTTGATTTCACGTCATCTTGTTTAATAAGATTATAAATAGTCAACTTACTTATTTTTGTCACGTTCATGATACATGTTAGCAATATAATATCATAATTGAGAATGTTCAACAGTAGAACAAAGTTAAGTAAAATTTTTAATTTTTTTATGCATTAAACTTAACATCTAAGATTTAACATGAATTTTTTTAATAATATTTTATGGAAAAATTTCGTTGAAAATTAATTCAAAAGTTTATGTTTTATATACAGGTAGTTTCTTATACACTACTAAAAAAATTGGGAACAGAAAAAATTCAAAATTTGTCGGCGATTTTTTAAGGGCTGTATTTTCGAGAAAAATGATGGTATCGAGCTGAAAAAAAAAATGTTAAAGCTTGATGATTCTTATTTTAGGATTTTTTAGTCAAAATTCTTCATCTTCTATGGTTATTGCATAACTCTAAGGAAAAGAGCAAGAAAACAATTGTTTATGTTCATTTGAGTCTATGGACTTGGAAAATTTTTTTCGGTTAAATGAACTTAAATTTCAGTTAGCTTATTTCGTTTTTTCCTCTTTTCTCTATGTACGTGTATTTGTCACTGAGATATAAAACTTTAAATGAAATATGGTCCTTTTTCCTTTGATCGCCAATAACTTAGCAAACAATAATCATACAGCAAATAAAGAGGCAGTTCTAAAAATTAGAATAAATTTCCTCCAAAACTTATTCATTGGTTATTGAGAACAACATTTTTTTCGATTAGTCTTCGACATTAATTTGAAAAGAGTATAAAAACATAGCTTTTTGGGTTATTTTAGAAAACCTGTCTTAATCTGGCAACTCTTGTTAAAAGTACCAATGTTTGAAGATTTTTTTTAGCTGAATATACACTCAAAAACTTTACCAGTTTCCAAAGCGATCGGTCAGGCTGGGTTGCCGAACCGAATCGTCAAACTTTTGAAAAGAATTAAAGAAACCATTTTTTGTTCTTGAAAGAAAATAAATGATGGAAATGACTCAAAAAATTTGTTTTCTTAAAAAATTATTTATAAAATTTGAAAACATATTGTTATGTTTATTGCTTGTTGGTCTCAATTTGCCCTAAATTTACTATCTGAAAAAATTTCAATAATTAAGAAAATTAATACCCGAGCTGTACCCATTACTTGACCTATGGTATGCGATGTCTTTATGCCAACGATTTCGTTACTTCCCGAGAAGTAATTGTGTTTTGAATAAACAGTTTTTTTTCAATTTTTATAAAGTTTAGAAAAAAGTTCATAAAAATTTTTCAACCTTTGATTTTTTTCAGTTGTGAATCATGCCTCACCGACATTTTTCTGAAACGCTCGACTTGTAAAAAGAGGGTTATTTATTGAAAAGTGTTACACTCACCGCGACGTCGGACATCAGCGCATCAGTTGTGAGCCATGCCTACGTACATTATCGAGAATTAGGTAGGTATGCTCGTCGACCGGAGTAAGATTAACGACGGGTATCAAGTCCTCGAGATAATCGAGTAATAATTCGTCGTGCTTGTTGAGAACCGTTCATCCATGCAAATGTTATTAGACTAAATTTTCTGAATCATTGTCAACAATAATAACAACAGTGATGATAACGACGAAGATACTAACGACAACGACAAAGACAAAGAAATATTTCTTACCGGACAGTGCTTACCCGTCTTCGAAAGTCTGAATTACGAGCTAGGCGTCCAGTTGGTTTACCAGTTCTAACAGTAAGACATCATCGAGCTCGTCTAGCTTAGGTGCATTAATACGTCGAACAGATTGAATACAGTAATTTAGAGTAGAGTCGGCAATAAAATTTAGTAGACAGACATGTATGTACGTAACTTGAGGAATGATTTTGGAGTCATTAAATATTGCAGAAGTGATGTGCCATAGAGTCGCTTTTCATTAAAAAATTGAACATTGACGGACATAAGATATTTAGTAAATAGGTTTGGAGTTTTTAAATACTGAGAAAGTGATGAACCACGAGATTTCATATTGCTGAAAAAAGTAGATATAATGATATACAGACAAATGTACGAACACACGGATGTTCATATGTACAAGAAGCATAAATCCAACTGTACAACCTCAACGTGGTATGCTTTCTGTGAATCAATTGCCAGAAATTAATGAATTAAACAAAAGTTTTATTTGTTTTTTTGAAGAAACATTTTCTTCTTCTTTTTTTTTCCATATTAGATAATTTTTCAATTCCAAATTACCAACAAAATAAGAAAAAAAAATTTTTTTTGTCATTATCATCATTTATTGACATTTAAGGAACAAAAACGTGTTCCTATAAACCTTTTCAAAAGTTTAACGATTTGGTTTGGGAAAATGGCCTGATCGCTCTGAAAACTGGGAGGGTTTTGGGGTATGTATTGAGCTAAAGAAACGTACTTTTTGCAACGGTTGCTAGGTTGAGGCAGGTTTTCTAAAATTACTTTTTTAAAATTTATATCGAAGATTAATCGAAAAACATTTTGTTATCAATAACCAATAAATAACTATTGTAGGAAATACAGTTTAGAACTACAATAATTTTAAATAGAGTTTATTTGCTGCACGATTATTGATTGCTGAGTTAATGGTGATCGAAGGAAAAAGGACCATTTTTCATTCATAGTTCGATATGTCAGTGACAAATAGACATCGAGAGACAAGGGAGAAAAAAAATATAAGCTCAATAAATAAGCTAACTGGAATTTAAGTTCGTTAAAATAATTTTCCGAAATCCTTGGATTAAAAAAAAAAATTTTTTTCTTACTCTTTTACTTAGGATTGTGCAGTAACCATAGCAGATGAAAATTTTTAACTAAAAAATCTTAAATCTAGAAACTTCAAGCTTTAAAAGGTTTTTTTTTCATCTCGATACGATCATTTTTCACGAAAATACATCCCTTCAAAAATCGCCAAAAAATTTTCTCTGATTTCTTAATTTTTTTCCAGTATCGTATATAATAAAATATTATAAATAATTATGAGGTTGTTTTCAAAAACAAAATACATTGAGAACAAATATTAAAGAAACTAGGTGCTAATATTGAAATGAAGTTATAGATAAAAATGAAATTTTAAATAATCGATTAAAACTTAAACGAAAATTTGAGTTTATTAATTATATGGATTTGATATATAAAAGTATTATAACTACGATTAGATGTTGGTTCATTGTCAGAAAATTAATTTTAAAAATTTGATGCGAAACACACACAAACGCAAACGAACATTCTACACACCTACATGCACGCTCACTGAAGGAGTACACCTTGCCCACTTCGTTCGTCATTGCTCCGCCTTCCATATTACCCTAATACAACAATATAGCTTATTAAACTCATTTTACTGACTTTGATTCACCCTGGACTAATTCTAGTACTTATCATTTTTATGTAGGATTCGTTTATAAACTACATGTTCCTTTTGCGTTTGAAGAATATGAATAGCAAAAGTGAAACATAGTCAAAATATGTCAAAATCTATGTTTTATGAATAAAGAAGCCATGATGAGCATTATCCTCTTTATCATGTGAGGTTACGCTGGATGTAGGATCAATAATCTGATATTATAAGGTTAAGGTGTTCAAAAAGTAAGGTAAATTTTTTAATTGGGTGGACTACGTATATTCGATCATCGATATTTTTCTTTAATTATATTGGTATACTTTTTTTTGCAAGACAAAAACGTTAGACTTGTTTTTTGTGCTCGGCGATTTTCTGCTGTCAAAAACAATGGATCAAAGAATTTGCATAAAGTTTTATGTAAAAATGGAATTGAGTGCTCCAAAATACGTGAAATGTTGACAGTGGCATACGATGAGTCTACTTGAAGTAAAAAAAAATAGTATTAATTCTTTCAAGATGGCTGAGAAGACACCGACGACGAACCTCGCTGTGGACGCCCCAAGAACTGCAATAACTGATGAAAGTGTTGAAGAAGTGAAACAAATGGTGTTAAAAAATCGTCGAATCACTATTAGAGAAGAGGTTGAGGACGTTGGCATCTCTTTGACTCATGCCATGCAATTTTTTCCGAAGTTTTGGGCATGAAACGTGTAGCAGTCAAATTTGTTCCGGAACTGCTTAATGTTGAACAAAAGGACCGTCGAAGGAGCATAGTTCAAGAGCTGTTAATCGACGTCAATGATGATCCTGATATACTCAAAAGAGTTACAACTAGTGACGAATCATGGGTTTATGGTTATGACGTCAAAACTAAAGCCTGATCGTCCCAATCGAAAACTCCAGAAGAGCCAAGACCGAAAAAAGCACGTCAAGTTCGATCAAATGTCAAAGTTATGCTCACTGTTTTCTTTGATTATCGTGGCGTAGAACATCAAAAGTTCTTACTACAAGCTCGTACGATCAATAAA